ACAGCTACCACTGAAAGAAAAACAGTATAAATATAAACTTTTTCTTCTCTAACTCTAAAGACCGAGTCAAACCCAGCCGCCCCCCTCCCCCAGGTTTTCTCTCTATCTCAGTTCTCGGATCTCCCCTTCTCTGGTTTCTTGTCTTCTCCAGTTTTAAGGTTCAAAGTCTCGAGAAAAAACAAAGGTATCCAGCAATCTTTAAAGATGTATCTTTCTTTATTTTGCTCAATTCCATTCCTAAATCTCCATTTCCCGTTTGGCCAATCTCATGGGAACTATTTGCTTAAAGCTCTGAAACTTATCAAATTGAAGCTATCAAGCTCTTCTTCCATTGCCATCCACTCTACTGGTCTGGTCACTTTTCCTTTCTACTTGGTGCTTTATCTATTTATTTATTAGTATATATATATATAAATGCGTACAATATTTCAATAGATCAGATTCGTTCACTTTGTTTCTTTACATTACAGGAGCAATAGAGACTGTTAAAAAAGCATATGATGCATTATTGTTGGATGCTGGAGGAACACTTCTGCAATTGACAAAGCCTAGTGAAGAAAATTACGCTTACATGGGGAGAAAATATGTTTTTTTCCCTTTCTTTTTATGCTATTATTACTCTTATTATTTATTTTCGGGATAACATGCTATTTCCGGATTAGAATGAAGTGATTCGCAGCTGGGGATTTAACACTTAATAGTTTTATTAAATCGGTTTTTCCCTTTAATTAACTAAACCGAACCGAAAGGAACTAGTTTGAACCAGTTTCAATTTTTAATTTAAAATAATAGAAACTTTTGGTTTAGTTTTTTTCATTATTATTTTTTAGTAAAAACCAAATAGAATCGAAAATCAACCGCATGATGTACGACCAAAATAGTGCAAATACCATAAAGGAGAGGCATAAACTTATCACTTGACTACATACATAAAACGTAAAAGAAACATGAGAAGAAGACTGAGTTTTTTCCATTTTCCTGTTTCATCACTGAAGTTTTGGCAAACAATTTGAAATATAGTGTACAAGCTTTGAAATGGCATGAAAGATGACATAATACGTCTTCCAGTTTGAAATTCTTGCAGTCAACCAACTCTTGGAACTCACACTTCTAGATTTCTCATCTTATTTACCTTTTCCATTAGCTAATGGACAAGGATACGGAAGAAATAAAAAGGGAGAATCTGTTCTCTGAACGAAATGACAATTAGCATAGGAAGCAATGAATAAAAAAAGACAGAAATCGCAATTTATAAAACTCGGAGAATCGGTTCTCGATATCGACAAAGAAGATAGAACTGACCTGGCATGCAGTGATTAGAACTTGCAAAAGATGAAATGAGAAGATAAGAGATGTTACTGTCTGAAGATGCAGTCCAAGTTAGACGTTCTAACCCAGAGGCATCCTCTGAGTTGCTTCTCAGCCTTTCGACAAGCTCACTTGAGTTCAAGGGAGATGTAATGGCTCAAAAGTGACAGAGGAGAATTCAGGTTGCAGCAAAGTTGATGAGAATGTCTAACTCTGGAAAATACACTTCAGATTATAACTTTTCACTTCATCCTTGGCAACTGCCACTTATAAGGATAACAATCAACATGTGTGAATAAGCTTGCATAAGTACGAGATGAGACTCTATAAACTATCATCGGAAGTTCAGAACAATACATAACACCGCAATGGAATTTAAAGAAGGAATCACAAATGGGAGAGTTATTGGCATGTAAGGAATGCAATACATCAGAGGAACAACTTTCCCCTGCCTGTAATATCACAGGTTCAAAAAATAATCAGATAACACTGACAAAGAGAAGAGACAACACAATATCAACCCCATCCAAGGATTCTGATCATTTTCCATTGTCACAGAGGAAGGAAAGAAATCATAATCCAAGAAGAAAAAAATGACTGTAAGTACAAAAAGTCAAGAAAACCTGTGTTTTCTAGCTTTATTCATCGTATTCAGTATGTGTAATTCCAAAACAAATATTCTATATTCCAAAATGGTATTGATTTATGAACTAAACCATATCCACCAAGCTCAAATGTTAAAGCCCTCAGCACGGAGGCACAGTCGATGAGCCTCAATCCATTTTGCGCATGCATCTTCACCATGCTCCACAATGCATTCGTCCCTTAGTTTCTTAGTTTCAGGGCAAGCACAGCAGATCTTCTTCTTGGGCTTTGATTCTTTAGTAGAATTTGTAATTACTGACACCTGGCTTACAACTGGGGCAGGGGAAGCATTTTGCAAAGGCAGTCCACCCATCACAAATCTGCAGAAAACACATGTAAGGCATAAAGAAATAAATAACGGAGTGAAGAAAATCATTCAAGAGCCTCTACTCTATTTATAAACTCATTACATAGGTTTTTTTTCGTTGTTATAATTCCAATGATTATACAATTCACTAGAGGAGAGCTTTTCTGTTGTGAATGGAGAGACATCTATTTCTTCATCAGAAAAAAGTGCACTTTTTCCTTTCTCTCTTTTTGCCAATTAATGCCTTTGCCACCTGGAGTCCTTGTTCTACAAATTGTCCAATCAATCAACTCCACTAAAACAATTCAAATTTTTTGTTCATATGTTCCATTACATGACTGTCCTCCACCATGTGAGATTTACTCATATCCCAATTTGTTTTCCTACAAAGGGATCACTAATATCATCCTTCTAATGCAGCTCATAGCACAAGCAATTCAGTATGATATCCGATTCCATCAAACAATTTGAAAAACTGCCATACCATTAAGTGCTGTTTTGCTTAGACTTACTAAGACAGAAACTTCAGACCTGATTAAGTACTCCGCGTGGTAAATCAACAACATGAAAGGTTTTTTTTTTTTTGTATTCCCATTTCCCCTCATAAAAATTAGACATTTGGCCAAAAATCTGTCAACATTATACTCAATCAAACCAATGAATCTGATTCTGACACAGTCATGATAAGCAATGTAGCACAAAAGCCTAAAATAAATGCACTTATATATGGGTTCAAGGGAACGAGACAACCACTCGAAAAAGACACCCCATTTCTTTTTAAATCGAGGAAGCAACTTAACTCAACCAAGCTTCTCAATTACCCAATTGAAGAAAGCTGTATAACACGAATATTTTGTAACAAATAGGACACGAACAGGCACAAATAATAAATAGCCCAAAAGTTGAACGAAATCACTTCTCTGGCCACTTTATCTGCTTGTGAACTTTTCGCTAACTTATTTTTGTGTTATATAGCAGTACTCTATGCAACTGACTAACTACATACCCAAAATCAAACTATATACCCAAAATCAACATACAGAAATTAGAAACTTAAAAAGTTCAAAATTGCGCTTCACCCAAGTTCAGAACCAACAGTATGATAGCTTCCCAATCAATAACTTCAAGTAACCAAACTTTTTTTTTTAAAAGAATAATAATTCATTTGCCTCGAGTAAAAATCCAACCTTTTTCTCTAAGAACTCCTGCATGATCATCCTTTTCATAGCAGTGAGCGATCATGCCTATCATGTTCTCAGTTTCTCAACTTTCTTGAAAACTACAATACCTTCTTTAAAACGGAACCTAAATATTGAAATTTATGCAAAACATATACCCAGAAACCAAAATCAATTAATGATACCAATTACAATCATTTGCCATTACAAAATTGCATTCTTGACTCAAAAATGATCTTCAAGATAAAGCCATTTGAGCTTTTGACGACCTTTCTACATAACAATTTGAATTAAAGAAAAAAACAAAAGAAAATAACAATTCTGAAAAAAGAAAAAGAAAAAAAGTTCATTCAAATAATAAAACCGGAAATAAAGCAAAACACTACACCATGACAGACTATCTACAACTGAAAAGACAATAAAGGAACAGATGAACATACGGAAACATAGAAAGAACAAAAGAGAAGAATAAGTTACCGTTAGAATTAGTCAAAGGTTTCAGGAGTTGGGACTCTGCAGGGTTTCTGTTGTGGTTGAATACTAGAAACTTCAGAGAGAGAGAGAGAGAGAAGAGGACGAGGAAGAAACGGGTCGTAGACAAGATGCTGTGGCATTCGTGGGCCGGGCCTTCATGGTCTAATAACAGCATAAACTTTTCTTTTTAACGTAGAACAAGTACTCGGATTGCGGCTGAAACAGAAGCTAATTCTTTTTTCTTTGTAAAATTAATTTTTTAAAATTATTTTAATTTAATGATGTAAAAAATAAATAAAATTATTTTAATATCTTTTTAAGTTAAAAATATTTTAAAAAATTATTATTATTCTCTCAAACACCTTAAAAAAATCAACAGTTTTTACTTTTCCTTCCAAATAAATTCAAAGGTTATTTTTTAAAAAAAATTATAAAAATAATAATAATTATTATTAGAATGATAGGGAGTCCTGTAAGAAAATCCCCGATAACTTTTCTTTTTAACATTTGCAACAAGAATAAGATAAATCTTTAATAAACTTGGGAGATTAAAATCTTATTTAATAGTTATTTTTTAAAATATTTTTTAATTAAAAATATATTAAAATAATATTTTTTTTTATTTTTAACATTAATATATCAAAACAATAACATTAAAAAATAATTAATTTAAAATAAATAAAAATAATAATTTTTTTCAGAGACTCTTTTAAAGAATAAAAACAAAAAAAAAAGGAAAATATGATGACAAATATTATTTTTCATTTTTAATATTAATACATTAAAATAATATAAAATATCAAAAAATTACTTTGAAGTAAATAAAAATATATATTTTTTAAAAAATATTTTTGAAATACAAAACAAAAAAGCTTGAAAAATATGATATAATATGATGAGAATTCTTATATATAACCGAGAAATAAAAAAATAAAAGTGGGTGCGACTCCATTCCATTCCTCCCTCGGATTGCTTAACATAATCCTGGAAATGTCCTGGCATCGTTCTGTCCCAAACTTAAGCTGCAGATGCGTACAAATTGCAATATCAGTAAATCAAAGATTGCCAAGAAAGTAAGAGATTGCAGCAAACGAGTAAACTTTCATGGGATTCACATTTCTAATTATTATCAAATATCTATTTGAAGAAGGTTGATTTACAAATGCCATTGAAATTCAATACAAGAAGCCCACAGAGGCACCACAGTAACAAGTGCAAGAAACTTCTCAAGTTGAAGATTCTCAATTAAAAACAAAATGGCAGCCCCCGGCTCTCATCTCCAGCTTTTCTTGGAATCCAAGCTTGTTCAAGATCCAATCTAAAACGCGCACTAACCAAGAATCTTATCCATGCTTTGCGCCATTTCTTTAAAGTTCCAGATTAACCCTGTAATTTACAGAACTGAGCCAGGAAAAAGATCCCACTTGGCAGAACCCGTAATGCTACACCAATAACAGCTCAAATTTATTCGATGATGGACTGGTTGTCTGACTCTTGTAGCTTGCTAATCATACTTCTCTCTCCAAGAATAAACAAGAAAGAAAACCCAAGAAAGAGCCAATGCAATGTCACCAACAACAAGTCTAGGCAAATCACGAGCCAGATCTTCAAGCTTCCTCTCAAAGTAAATCCTCCAAAAAGCCATTGAAACATGTAGCAAGACACAACCTTTAGCAAAGAAACTCTGGAACTCTCTGTCCTTAACAAATGCCACCATGAACAAAAGGAACCCAATGGCAAACAATAGCAACCCAGAAAAGGAATCAGAGGTTTGGATCAGGAGTTGGTCATGTGGTGTTGAACCTTTAAGCTTTGTAGCTATTTCAATGCCATGACCAAACACAGTGGCCTCATTTGTGTAAAACATCATCAAAGCTCCACAAGTTAGAGCTATCCCAGAATGAAGCATACATATCAGAAAGAAGCCAGAGGATCCCATTTAATCAAGCACCAAAAAGAACTACTTTCCCCTCCCCTTTCTTTAACTCTGTCAGAAACAATGGCACAACCCAACAAGAAAAGCCCTTTAAACCATAGCTACCAAAGCACAATACAAGAAAAGAGTAACATCAACCCTATTGAAAGAGCCCTCAAACCTACTTTTTTGAATGTGTGATCTTGAAGAAAGACGATTGAATCATTGATCAAGATTTAAAGCCCCAAATTTGATAACAACCCAAGACTCAAAAACCAAGATAAACCCATTAATCAAGACCATAACTTGATCTCCCCCACCAATTGTGCCAAGAAAACAAATCTTGAATCAAAGTGTATTAAACAAGAAAAACCCACATAAACCCCACCTCAAATTTCAATATAAGACCCCTTTAATCCACCAAGAAGAGACTATAGGGTCCTAACCTCAAATTCAAGATGTTGAGAGACGGATCCAGGAAACCCTTTTGCATCCCAAAACCCTAAAGCTGTAAACAAATTGAAGGGAAATGAAACAGAAACGGGGAGAGGTTTAAAAGGTAAAATTCTTGGTGCTGATCTGGATGTGACCTTTTTAGGTGATATAATAATTGAGCTAAATTAATGGATATAATAATTTTGTGGGCTCAGACTTAATTGGACAGAGAGGTGTTAGAGAAAGCAATAATTTGGTGTTTTCTATTGTTTCAAGTGGCACTCCATAGAGATTTCTTGCTCTCAATAATCCCATACCATACCTTCCTCCCATGCACAAAACGCCATTGTTTTTTTATGCAATTCTTTGCTTCTTGTGCTTAGCAATTCCACATTTGTGGGTCACATGTTCACTGGCCTACCCTCTACCCTTTGTGTTTCTAATTATCTTAAATGTAGAAAATAAGCTCTTTTTGGAATTTTTTATTTTTGCTTTTTGGAAGTTAGAATCCATGTATCGTCTCATAGGAGGATCAAGTTCACACGACCTTTCTTCCTCACGAGATATCTCCAGAGGGTGAAATAAATATAACTTTTATCATGTCCGTATAATTTTATTTTTATTTTTAATAGTAACTTATTAAAATAATAATTTTTTTTTCAAAAAAAAAGCTCATGACAATTTGTTAACTTCAACATCATCTTCTATGCATCTTATTAGTTGAGCTGCAAGTGTTATCAAATTTTAATTGATACCAGGAAGATATTTCTTTTAACATCGAATTAAGAAAATTGTTTATAAAATGAACTGTAAGAGTAAGAAATAATTAACAGAAAATAAGAATCAATGCCTAAAAAGTGTGAACCTTTATAGTTTAACTCGAACTTGCTAGAACTTGAGGTTACTTTTAATTGTCAAAAGTGCTTTCGGCATGCACTTGAAAAAATGGATCCATAGAGTACTTTTAACATATCTCAAGCTGTATTGCTCTCTTCTGTATGCAAATCGAATGACAAAACCACATTATTATAGTATCATCACAGAGAAGAAGCCATCATTGTATCCAATACAGCTGTTATATTTTGCAGGTACACTTCATTGTATGTTAATTTAAGTGTATGGTCGATTCTCACCATTTAGTAATTTGCTTTCATGGAAAAAGGGAACACTGGAACTTGTATCTTGCTGATAGGCCTCTCCTCTCCTCTCCTCTCCTGTGAGACCCTTCGATGTTATGTGCTGCCTGTAGGGTTGAAGCATGAAATATAATCTATCCTTCCACTTTCAGTTCCTGCTTTTGAATTTATTTGAGGATTTGATAAGAGTGGAGAAATATGAGATTCAACATATAGGATACCAAAATTTTCAATCTGCGTATTAAGGTAAGAGCATGGAGGAGGCCAGTTCAGAAATCTTCCTATTTACGTGTACAGTCACAGGTTTGGAAACATTCCGTAGGCCTCAAAACACTAAGATTTTCTCTTCTTACAAATTCCCTAGAATTAAACAACTCATTCCAAAACCTGTGAAGAACACATTAAGAAAGAGATCAGACTCAAGCTTAGAAAAGTAGAATAAGCAGTGCATCTTGATAGCTCAAAAGAGAAGATGAACGACACTCCTAAGAACAAGGAACAGTCGCTGCCCACTCAGGATGGCACGGTATTTATTGTGTGGAGGATAGAAAGTATATCTTCCATTTCTATAACTGGACAACGCATAAAGCCTGAAAGCTGACATTTTCAAGAAACACAAGTGATGGCCAATGCATGTTCGTGCACCATGTAAATGAAAATCAAGAAGCATTCAATGATTGCAGCTGGTGTGGACTTATTTGGTATGAATTATTTACAACAATGAAAGAATATGAGATATCAATAATTTCAAACAAAATTTCGTTTGCTTTTGTTTTTGGGTCATTCTAAATACTTCTAACCAAATCCATCTTCCCGGTGCAGTATAATGAAAAAAAAACACCTACTTTTACCTCTCCTACAAAAAGGTGTGCTTCTCCCTATTACCCGCAGCAGCCTTGCGGTGTTGCCTTGAACCAGATCTCCTATCTCTTCCACGCCTTGAATTTTTACTTGGGTTTCTCCCAGCTGAACTATCACGATGTAACGGTGGTGGATGTCGAATAACATGAGCAACTGGAGGTGGCATGTGGTCCAATAAATCTTTGTGGTAAGCCTGCAAGTCAAAAGAAAAATCAAGTGCTGAGCATAAAAGTACCATAAAACAGTGGCATTTTGTTACAGAGAAATTAATAGTAGTAGGATTTAGCATCCCAAAGCATAGGAGTTTTATTTTTTAAATCCAAGTTAATTATCCCCATTAAAGATTGTTTTTATTTGATCGTTTCTGCTTTTAGCATCATTTGGTCAAAGCATACTAGCTGCACTTCCAGGACAGAATTTAGCCTCAAATGTCACTTGTATGGAGAGTAACCACATTAAACACCCAAAGAAACACTTGGAGGATCAACAAATATAGAAGGGATCAAAGACACCCATAGAGATCAGTCTCGTGCACTGTAAAATAGCAGCTGGACAGCTTTGTTCAATACACTGCTGTCAGAGGATCCATTTAGTTGCCAGAACTCTGTGTTTGGGAATCAAAGAGCATTTGAGGCTAAAATCAGACCAATAATAAATAAGACAAACAGGCAACATAAAGCAGACCAATAATAAATTGTCATACTTTCCTCTTTCAACAGAGGAAAGAGGTGTTGCTCAATGTTAAACATGAAAGGAAAAAAAATACATAAGTTAATATAACAATAAAATTAATGTCATTCAGCTTTTTTGGCCAACTTCATTAGAAAAGTTCACTTACAAGGTTCATTTAGAGCTGAACAATAACAAATTGCTTAGTTTTAGATGCACTGGTTTCATCTCCCCTGATAATAGAAAGACAACACATAAACATGTACCTGAATCACAAAATTACGCCTCTCACAATCCAAAAACATATTGATGCTCCAATCAACTTTAGCCATTATTTTATCCCTCACAGTGGAGAAGCTTAACTGATCTCTGGCAGTAAACCGATCAACTTCATTGAACCACAGGCAGGTAAACAGATTTGTGATGGGAATATGTTCCCTTATGATAACACAACCTTCAGGAACATCTGCAAAAGGTCAGTCATTGAGCAGAAAACATAAGAAATACAAATCTTCAAGAAAATGAAGCACACGCACGCGCATAGGATTATACACCTACCACTGGTTATTGGAAGCTTAGCCTTGGAATATGGTGATAAACCCTCTTTTTTATAAAATTCAATCTGGTAATCAATGGATGAATTGTCAGACTTTCCTGCAGCTTTGTTAGCTTCAGCCTCTTCAAACACATCAAAGCGATGATAGTGTCTTGAGATTGCAAAACTGGCATTTTGCTGCCACAAGAATCTGAACCAAAGGACAGCTCAGGTATGATTAAAACACATAGATTATGCAATTATACTAAAATTATCTACCTATTTTCCCTGCTTCTAGAGGCCAGAAATGCAATATGCATGAAGATCTATATGGTAAATGACAACTAAAAAACTGTCTTAACATGAGTCAACATATCCAGAACACATTGCCAAAGCATGAGTTACTGTAAACCAACAGAAAGATGACATTCCCATGTTCCAAGCAAGAAAAGCAGTTCCTTTTTTGAATGCTTTAAATGAACATGTAGGTGATCAATAACAGTGTAATAATGTTAACATTGCAAGACAGCTGATAAAAAGAGCATACGGCTATAATTATATTTTCCATGCATTTTTCCAGAATCCCATAAGTTGCCTATTGATGAACCAATGAAACCTATGATGGTTCATAACTTTGAAGTGATGCCATGTTGGGACCAGAAATTGGTACAGTGACAGATAACAGAAGAAAATGAGTATACACACACAGGTACAACAAAATTTCCATACATCTCAATTTGAAGATACCAGAAAAATTATAAAAGAAGATGCACTGAATTCACAAGCCATTTTACATATCTGAATGACTCCATTCAATGACCACTTAATTTAAGCACAAACAATATACCTCTCAAGAACTTGATATGGATCCACAACAAGCTGGAGCTTTCCATCTATCCATATGGAATACCTAACATTAGGCAAGAGCCTGTGCAATAAAAGCTTTGGAACCTGTCCATTTAAATAGCACAACGACAGCATCCATCACTTCTTGCAGCAACATTTTAGGTTTTCAGTAATTGAAAAGAAAATGACTTGAAGGATGAGGTACTATTGACTATCATAGCCCAAAACAAAAATGAAAAGGGAAAAAAAAAGGAAAATCTTTTAGATTAATATATCAACAGAAATTTATTCAGGAAATTCTGCCATGCTAGGATAAGCACCAAAATTGAAATTCCTTGAAGACTCGCCAAGAGATAAACAGAAATTTGTTAACAAACTGATAGCTTTGTTTTCAACGAGTTAACAGAGAAGCAGGAGAACAAGGGGAAGAAAAAAAATTAAGAAGAAAGTGTGATGCAATCCAGCCCAGGTTTGGATGCCCAAGGAAATTAAAGAGAGAAATCTGAAAGAAGCAGGCAAAGCAACCAAACAAATGCAAACTGACCTTTCCATTGCGTCTTGCATCAGTGTAGGGGATGTTATGGACGACAATAATCCTCCACAGTCCGATCCTCATATTGCTAGCTAGGGCGCTGGAATTCTTCAAATATGTTTCTGTCTCTTCGTCAATAAACATATAAAAAGGAACATTTTTCCTAGCTGCTTCACTAACGTTCTTGGGCTGTTGTATTATGTCATAGTTCCCTGGGAAAATGCAATGATGAGGAAAGTAGAAAACATGGATAAAACAAGAAATCTTTGCAGAATGTCCAGTGCTAAGCAGTACCAAATATGGCTGATGCAACAATGACCTCATGGAACTCTTCCAATTTCATCAGGTCAGCTTCATCAATATCAAATCCAGTCTGGCGGCCAGGTCTATTTCCTTTAACAAATCTGATAAAAAATACGGCCAACAGAAAAATATGTGTTTATAAGAAATAAGCTATTCATATTTGTTACAGGACATTGTATAATAACGGAGGACACAGATCATGAGATCCATGCAAAACAGTGTCTTCAATGCTTATAATTTTACAGAAAGATGATAGGTGAGAAGGACTCCTACCCACAGTGAACTGTCATCGACTCTTGTATATCAAAAGATTCATTCCTCTGCTTTAGAGAAGGATATCCACCAAATTCTGAACCTCCATGTGATTCAATTTTAATTGGGTTTTCATCAACAACATATGTCAAGTTTCGGAGCACTGGTGATGCAAATGAGGAGCATGGAATGCTATCTCTAGCTTGCTCTGCAGAAATGTAACATACTGGACAAGCTGCATAACAAATGAGTGACAACAAAGTAAATACCACACCAACAGAAATAAATTGCATGTAAGCATTTT